CTTTCATTGGTAAACTTTTAGACGACACCACAATCAGAAGAGTAAAAAACCTGGCCAGGACTGTGGATGGCAGAAATAATTAAAAGAAGTATCCAGAAATGTCCAGTTTAGGATGACCAGATAAACTGTTTGTTTAATTTTCTTTATAGACGTATCCAACTATTCAAATTTGAAGTACATTACTAATAACATTCATAGGCAGCATGCATATTGAACAACATCATTTTGACATCTTTATGAAAGGATTTACTTTAATATATCCGTGCTAATTAAGTCGTCATATTTTATGCATCTACTCGTAAATGTTGCATGCAGGTGTATAATTTAATCTATACACGAATGATCGGAAGACAAAGTATATATATATATATATATATATATATATATATATATATATATATATATATATATATATATATATATATCGAATCCATTAAATTCACTTACGTATTAATACCCTTCCTCCAGCTATGGGTAAAAAGCAGGCCAGACTGGATTCTATAACCTTGGAACATTGAAGTCAACATTCAGAGGCGTCAGGCAGTTTCATGCTAGACGCAATCGCCAGGCCTAACGATTGCGTCTAGCATGAAACAGCCTGTTGCCTCTAAGTTTTGACTTTAGTGTTCACTTATATTTATATTTACATACGCTCTATCTCTGATATTGAGCACTTTAACTCATAAATATAGCACACCTTAAAACTATATTTCTTCATATATATATATATATATATATATATATATTGTAAATTTTTTTTAATTATATTCTACTCAAAAAAGGTATTATATTTATATAAATTTATAGCTCTTTTATTTATTTTTTTTAACCCCGCTTATTTTTTGCAGATACCACAAGTAGACGGGTGACTCCGTGAGGATCATAGTCACTTCACTAGAGCTTGTTAACAATTACTGCACCGCTAGGCGGTACGTATTCTCTCTATCTTCTCCCCTTCTTTATCCCCCCCCTACACACACATATATATTATATCATATCAGAAAAATTTGGAGTTTAATATGTTTAATATCTTGTCCGCTTTTGCACGTTAAAGCAAAACCAATTCGTAGTTGTGTTTTCCGTAAAGAGCGTTACATAAATGCTGAGTAATTTGCAAGCGATCTTTGAATGACAAGAAAACCTCTGTAGAGGAATTAATCGTTTGATGGTGGGTTAGGTTTATTAGCGTGCTAATTCATTAACTCCGTTTAATTAGCTTTTGAAGACGGATGTTTCTCTAACATTTTACATCTCTCTCTCTCTCTCTCGCTCTCTCTCTCTCTAGTCGCTTCTGGCTGACTGCTCGCCCACAAACGCTTACAATTACAAACAGAAAATGAAGAGTCTCTTATTTTAAGTGTTAATTGCATTTCCTATAATTAGTATATTCGGACAGCGTAACGTGGACTCGACGACTCGAGTTCAAATTCCAGCTTCATTGAAACCCGTACTCTTGGAGGATGTTTTTTTCGAAAGTTAATATCTAGCACCTTAGGTGTCCCCAAATGTTATATGTGTTGAAAGCACCGAAGTAGTTTTGTCTCTGGTCTCAAGTACGTGCAAGACCCTCACTATTTAAATTCGCCCATGTCTTCCATTCCGTTCGAGTTGGCATTCGGATAAATCTCGCCATTAAAAAATGCCGAAATCCATCGCTTTCCCCCCATAGCTAAGGGTTAAATAACAGAGTAAGCTTGACTCTTCTAGCCTTGAGTAGCACCGAATCTATGAGATGGACAACTTTGAATTAAGAACTGTAGAGAAGGCTCCGGAATATCACTCCACTTTCTTTCCCAAGAACACTCACAACAATTCACAGATAATAAAGAAAATGGCTGTGATCGCCTACGTCGCGAAGTACTCCAGTTTCTTAAAAATACCGAAATCGATTCGGTAATATTGATCTGCATCTTGTTAACCATTACTTCACGAAACACAAAGATGCATGTATATGCGTGTATTTCACCCTTTTTTCTGAGTTAGTATGTGTGTTTTTTAAGCACCTCGCCTTAGGACAACTAGACAATAGGCGATTGTAGTGTTTGAATATAGCGTTAATAGCTATATTTTAGACTGTACTAAGCGTAGTAAATATTGACTCTTTACCCTGCTTTATATAGTTTTTTTTCTAGTGAATTCTATTCTCTCTGGTGCTCCAAACTTTAGATTTGTAAGATACTTAAATAAGTTGAATTAATTATTTTAATCATGGCCTTGTACCTGACTAAGTAAACCCAAATAACCTAAGTATGTTTCTTTGCGTATTTGCGTAGGATTTTGCATGTCTCGGAATTCCATTACTGTCAGAGGTTACCTGCACGCAGAAACGCTTCCAGCACTTGCGAGCAACGTGTAAACATTCTCCTCTGCAACCACAATGACGAGTGGATAATGCAAGACAGATAAAAGAAAAAAAAAAAAAATAACACATTGTTTCGCCATTTTTCTTTCATCTCTTGTGTAACCTCGTTTCCATCTTTCTGACGTCAGCCATGATAGAAACTAAGTCGATCTCCAAGTAGGAAAGCAACGTTCGTCTTTCTACTTGAAGTTTTTGTTGTTGTTTGTTCTTTTATTTTCTTTTACGTTTTTTCCCCGCTAAGACTCGGCAGGATATAATTTCTTTGCAATTTCATTATTTTTCTGTTCCGCTTTCTTTCTTCTTTTTTTTTTTTTTTCGTTTATTCGTCTTTGTTTTTTGCCTTTTTTTTTTTTTATTGATTCCATTCTTTTGCTTGACTCTCCTTTGCTTTCTGGATATTTATTAAGCTAGTCGGGCATAAGGCAAATTGAGTAAATATTGGAGTAGGAAGATTTTGATGCAGCAAATAGTGAGGTTTTCCAGCCTTTAAAATGTCATTCAAAATCCTGACTTTGCTGAAGGCGCACTGAATCTTGGTGTCAGTTCAAAATGCGCAATTATCTCCCTTGCTTAACATTTTTTTTTTAATTTAAGGAAGATTTGAAAACTGTTCTTTCTTCCAATTTCTATATGTATTTATATTTTTCTTATCTTACTGTATCCATTAATACTCTTTTTTGAGCAACCACTGAAATGTTCACGGATCGACCAATAAGAATGGTTTACTGCATCTAGTCAGCCCACAGATGATCACATTTAACACATTTTTCTATTTTTTTGAAAAAGTTAAAGCTCTTCACCTAGAACAGGGTTTCCCAACTTAGGTGATATCACCCACCAGTGGTTGATTTCACCTGTTGGGTGGGCGATGAGCAACTAAACAGAAAATTTTGGTGGGCGATATAGGATTTTGAATATTAAATAAGTATTTCAACATATGCTTTCCGAAAAAATATTCAAATGAAATATGTAAAGACTCTGTTAAAATAAACAGAAGGCTAATTGGGAATAACTGAGTCACATTCCTAGATAACATATAAATATCTCCGCAAACAACGAATATTTTGGTGTTTTCTATAGTTTGGAGAAGTGTCATTAATATTCAAATAATTTTCCACTATTGGACACAACAAAAATATTTACTGAATTTTTAAACATGGACCGAATATGTGAGCAACGACGAAGTTTTGGAGAAAATGGAAAAAAAAAATGAAACTTAAACTTAACGTCAGAAAAAGACAGTTGAAATTTCTAGGGTACATAATGAGGAAAGAGGACTTAGAAATTTGATACTCATAAGACACATTGAAAACAAGTGTGAAAGAGTAAAAGCAATGCATAACATACTTAGTGTGTTTGAGTAAATAGATGGTGGAACAGGTTTTAGGAAAGATAACAAAAAGGAAAAAATTATTAAGCGCTAGAAAAGACAGGAAATTGTGGAGAGCCTTGATTCCCTACGTCCTGAAGGGAGATACCATGTACAGAAGAAGTATACCATACTCTTTTTTAGTATCTGTCTATATTTCTGAGATGAGGTATTATGTACATTATTTACATTATTGTCCTCATCTTTGTTGCCATATTTATTACAACGTTTCGGCCGTTGTACACTCTGGGCTTCTTAAGTTGGTTGGAATGTCGAACTTAACCCTTTATTTCGCTCACTGGGGTAGACTGTTCATGGCACGTGGAACTGGAACACCTGAAGAAGGCCGGAGCGTACAACAGCCGAAAGGTTGTAATAAAAATGGCGACAAAGATGAGGACAATAGTCCGAATAATGTAAATAATGTATTCCTTTTTTATTTTATAATTAGGAACATTTTTTTTTAATATTTGTTGACACTTGCAAAGCTAATTTTAACAACAAAACTAACCTTGATCATAAAATTAAATTATATATATATATATATATATATATATATATATAGTTTTCAGTAGTCAACTTTACTTTCGTTTCTTCTTTAATACGTTAGCAGCAGCAGCAGCAGCAGCAGCAGCAGCAGCCTCATAAGTCAACGTTATTTGTTATCTCATTTGGTATTTTTTATTACATTATAAAGTCAGTTTACGAACCAGTAATAAACTTTCACCGGGCTTTTGTTATGCTTTTGAATATCGACTATAAAGATGGACAATGGAGTTTTTTTTTATTCGGCGCGAATGTGGGCGATGACGCAAAGAACGTTTCTGAATCCGTGGCCTAGATCTACAAAAAATATGATGTGAGGCAATTGAAATACTGAATTTTGGGAGTGAATCGAGCCGATAAATTTTCAGCATGTCTTCGAATTGAAACATTTTTAAAAATTAATTTCATATTCCACTGTTTTCTTTTGTTTACTAAACTTCTTTCATCCCCCCTCTCTCTCTCTCTCTGTGTTTAATCCGTCCTTTTATTTACACTTTCTTTAAATTTTCTTTTAAATACTCACTCTCTCTTCCCCCCTCTCTCTCTCACTTTTACCGTTTTCTTCCTTGCCGACTCTGTCTTTATACTTAATCCTTCTTTTCTTTTACCTTCTCTTTCTCCTCTCGTTACCCTCCCTAAAACCTCTCTTACCATCTCTTCTTAAATATTCTCTTATTTTATAGTTATGATGTTTAAACTTTTTTGTTTTCATTTTTATCTTTGATGTTGTTCCCTCTCTTTTCTCTTTTTTATTTCCTTCCTTCCTTCCTTCTTTCCTTCCTTCTTTCCTTCCTTCCTTCCTTCCTTCCTTCCTTCCTTCCTTCCTTCCTTCCTTTCGACTCTGGTTTATGAAAGAGTGGAGTATTTCATAGCAAAAGCCCCACCCCACTCTCTATTGTATAAAAGTAATCCTTCAAAAAAAAGCACAGGTAATGTATTTATATCGCCATTGTTATTTGGGTCTTTGGTCAAAATGTGGGATGTGTTTGTCTCTTCGTTTGCTTTTAGCAAGCCTAGCCCCCGATGATTCCGTCTGCAGTAGCACCTCCCATTTGAATATCGACGATAGCATGACGGTGATCGCGGATACTGAAGAGTATTTTTTTGTCTTTAGTCTATATGGAAATGAACTGGCAATCCAAGAGGAAGGGTCGGGCAAATACTAACGTCAATTTCATCCTCTTCATCGAAGGAAAATGTCTTATCGTTAGTTTTCAAAATTATAAAATTTAAGAACGCTTATAAATGATCTTAAGTTTGAGAAAGTCATGGTGAACTATGGAAGATGCTAAGTGATGTAATTTAATATGCAATAAACAAAAGTGAATAAATGTTGATATTATTGTTTATTTTTTATTTCGTTATTTATTTAAATTTATTTACTTATTTTTTATTAATGCATTTAGGATTGATTATTTTTTAATTTGATAAATTATTACTGTATTTATTTATTTTAATTGTTACTGTTGTTGAAAATCTCCAAGTGATGCTGTTTCGGTTATTTGTCACTGTTGTTTGATTGTGATTCTGTAGCGCCAGCCCATGAGGTTCGAAAATGGATGTCATTACTATAAGCTGCAGACTTCACTCCTTCGAAATCATTTTTAAACCTTGATCTGAGGTAATGGGCCTATACGGTTGTATGCATGACAAGCATATGAAAGTCACGAGTTGATGATACAACTTAAGAGCATTAAGTCTTAGGTTAATGTTTTACTTTTGTATCGATGCGTTTTGATCGGAACGAGCACCTGCATTAATGACACTACAGAATCTGGTTTACGAGGGTCAGGGTTGTTCATTTGATTGTTGTTATTAAAGTTAAAGGTTTCTAGGGCCGACAAAGATTGGCGTTTATATAAAGCCTTATTCAAATAGGGGGTGGCCATCGTCATCGCACTCTGTTGCTGAGACTGTCTAAAACATGTCAGGTATGACGGCGGTTTCAAATACTAAAAGTGTTGCAGGTTCGAATCTTGCCGGAGAGCGCACATCATTTTGTTTAATAAGATTTCTCGAATATTAAGGCCGGTACACGGAAATAAATAAATATACTGTTTAATAAATAAATGAAACGTTTACTCAAATATTGGTATTCAGTAAAAATAATGTTTAAGTAATAATGTGTGTGCGTATACACACACACACACATACACACACACACACACACATGTATGTAAGCAATTTTGGAAACTTCTACTTTGGCATGTTTCCTCGACGAACTAGCGCAAGTCGTAAAAAAATGATATCACAAGAACAAAATTTACAATAGCGAGACAAAACGTGATTCTCGTTAAGCGGCTGAAGGCTTGAAATTTAACTTAAATTGTATTATTACAGAAAATAGATTTTGCCTAATTTGAAATAAGTTGTTATTTATATTTATTCATCCATTTTTAGTAACTTTTATTCTTATTTTTCTCAATGTTTTTGCAGTGATCAGTTCTAATTTAGTAAGAAGAAGCGATATATTAAAATAGCCCGCTCAACCACTTACTGAGAGTCACATTTTGTCTCGCTAATGTAAATATTCTTCTTGGGAAATATTTTTTTTTCTCTAAAAGTAGATGATGTTTCCGGCTGCGGCAGATTGCACTACACAAGTGACTTTAGAATTTCTGTTATTATGTGTTTTACTTTTCGGGCCCAGGATGCTGAGGAATGGGTGTTTTTATCAAATCAGAATTTCAAGGTGGATTGTCAAGAGAGGTTTAAGAACTATGAATTGCCGATGTGCGCACCAACTGCCTTTAAGTTCAGAATTTTCCATTTCCTAGACTGGTTCCCCAAATTTTTTTTCTGATGAAGCTGGTTTATCTGCGAAACATATCAAGATAGATGATTCCCAAATTCTCTTACTATTCCTTAGGATTCACATCTCCCTCTTTAACTATATATATATATATATATATATATATATATATATATGTGTGTGTGTGTGTGTGTGTGTGTGTGTGTGTGTGTGTGTGTGTGTATCGATATGTAATATATAGATATATAGGTATATGTGTATAAGAAGTATCGGATTAAACGCTCCTACTAGTTTTTAGAGCAACACAAAAATAAAATACAGCGTAAAATAACAACACCAAAAATACCCTCCCCTTCAAAATGACTAAATGAGTGTCCGAAAGCGCTTGGGACAGTGTACATTATGAAAAATTACTTGTAATTCCTTAAGCTGTATAAAATTAAAAAAAAAAAAAATTTGCTTACCTGCCATATTTAACAAAATATATTTAAAAGAAAGGATGTTATTCAAATATAGATTAATATTATATATATATATATATATATATATGAAGAAATATATTTTAACGTATGCTATATTAATGGGATAAAGTGCCCAATAGAGCATATGTAAACATAGAAATCAACACTGAGGCGACTGACTGTTTCATATTAAACGCAATCACCAGGCCACATATCTATCTATATATACACGAGTCAGTGGCGCATTGTGGGTAGTCTATTGCATTGTGGATAATCTATTCTAACCATTATTTTGGCGAGAGTGACTTGTTAATTCGTTTATCATTAACTTTATTTATTTGGATTAATTTATTTGATTTTTCTTATTTATTTTTATTTTATTTATCTTTTCAATTTTCGATTTCTAAGTAACGTAGTAAAAATTTGTTTCGGTGTCTGCATTTTGAGACGAGTTATGATCGTTTATTCACTAGTTTGTTTTGGTCTGGGAAGGTAATTGTAGCTATATTTTTCTCCAAGCAGAGTTTGCGGTTTTTGGATTGATTGTTGTAGGCTGATGTTCTTTTCCTTATTTTCTATGATATTTTTGGTGTGATTTGTTTTTAATTTTCTAGATATTCTTCGAAAGCATTTTGATGTTCGCGTATTTACTATTTGTGAAAGATGTTTTGTCTGCGTAGATTCTTTGCTTTCATGCTCCTTCAGTTACTCCTATGTATATTTTCATTCGTTATTTGATGATTCTATCGTGGTTTGTTATATTACATTGTTTTCTAAGCAATTACCGTTTAAGGGACATTCATTAATTATTCTGCAGTTACACGTGGGTCTAATTTGTTCGGGAGCTTTGTTGTTAGTTTTTCTGCTGTGCTTTATTTGTATCATGTTCTCAATGCAATTGTAGCTGGATTTTATTGTGTTTTTGATGAATATTTTGTTAAGAGTGCTTGATTCGAGAAGTGTTTGAGTAAGATTTTGATGAATATTTTTCCAACGTTTGTTTTTACGTTTTTGTTGTATGGCGGGTTGAATCATATGATGTTTCTCTTCCTGCTGGCTTTTTGTACTCTTTGGTGTGTATGTGAGTGTTGCCGGGAATCCACTATCTTTTAGGGCTGTTTCATAGTCTTTCTTCGCTTCGTTGAATATGGTTTCATTGGAAGAATTGTCGGAAAGCCTACGGTTAATTGGTTTTGGAGTTTGCTTGTTTATAGATGGCGAGTGTTTGGAAGATGTGTGTATATATAGTGGTTTATCATTGGATTTTATGCTTGGTATATATATACCTTTTCTTAGGTTGGAGGTAACATCTATAAAATCTACTTCGATTAGGTTAGTTTTTATATCTATGTCGAATCCGTTATTTTTCAAAATCTTTATTATTACTTTTTTTATTTTTCTCTGTGTTGTGTTTGTTATAGTTTCTTAAGATTATAAGACCGGCGTCCCTGTATCAGTTCTCTATTATTTTGTTTAGTTCGTGTTGTAAATATATACCTATGAGTTCGCAGTTATGCACCGTCAAAGCTTCCCAATGTAGCGTCAAATATCACTTTCTTATCCATGAGTCTTCATTGTCAAATAGTAGTGATTTCGTTTGTGTTTATTCTTAGTTGTTCTTGAGCTAAGATGTTGGCCTTATCAAACATTGCTTCTGTTATAGAAAGGTAGAATTCTTTTACGTCTAATTGTATAAATTGGTAATTATGTTTTTTTATGCTGCGGAACCAGTCTGTAGTTGCTTTTGTATTTTTCCACTGGTTTATTCTTAACTTCTTCCTTATTTCTGAATTAATTCTCTCTCGTTTTACTTATTTTACCTAGTTCGCTTTTGGTTGGGTTTATGAGTCTGCATGTTGGGTTGGGTTTGAAATTTTTTTTGTGGTCTTTTAGTGTCATATATGCTTGTGCCTTAGCGATGCAACTTATTTGGTCATCTAGGTCTAATTTTTGGGCAATTGTTTTAGCTTCCTTATTGATATCGTTTTCTATTGTTTTGGGTGTTTTCTTTTTAGTTATAATAATTCATAAAGTTTTACATCTTTTAAAATTCTGTATTAGTTTTCAGCAGTTAGATTATATTATTATTAAGTGAAAACTATATTTACTAATCATAAATAGAAAAGCTTATTATAATTCAAAGACCTCCAGTATTTTAAAAAGGATTTTGAATTGATTTTGTGTATGTATAAACCAGCCGATTTTTGTAGATACGGATGCCCCGACACGACATTATCAGAAAATAAGACCGCTAGCTAGAGAAAATTTAAAATTTATTGATAATTTTGTAAATTTTTTTCAAAAAATGTCTTCATAAGTAAGACAAAATTTAATAAAATAACAGATTACTTAAAATATCTTCCTTTTAAGATGACTAGGTAGTGAAAAAATTATATAGAAATCTCGTTCACTTTTTATTCAAGTCATTTCACAGTTATGTGCACTTTACTTTAAAATACCCCACAGACCGTACTGTTAAAAATGTTTTTCTGTGTTATTTTAAAAGAAAAGTAAGCAATATTTGTTTTAATTCAGGTTAATTACAACTTAAATCAGTTAATCTTTCTCAAATAAAGTTTCGAAAAAGTATATTTTTAAAAGACGTTTTTAATAAAAACAATTATGTTGCGTTAACAGATTTGTTAATGTGGTAAATTTCAGCGACATTAGTGATAAAAAATCCATTCAATTCAAATTGGATTTATTTTAGTTAAAATTTTCAATAAGCAAAATAATTTGCTTATTGAAAATATTAATTTTAATCCGTTGGCTTGGATTTAAGACTAAAACAAAATCTTCAAGAAAGATTTTTCTTATTTAAAATGGATTTTAAACATTAGATATCGCACACAACGAACTCTAAATAAGGCTAGTCACGAATATAGTAACAATGTTTAAATAGGTTTATAATAGCAATGTTTATAATATACTTCAATTGCAATTATAAAAAAATACATATAATTTAAATTTATCTCCCTTAGATAAAACATTAAAAAACATAATCACTTTAAAAGTTATTTTTTAATTATTACGTAGCGCGTTGATTCGTGTTTATATTTATAACAGTGTGTTACATGCGTATTTACAAAAAAATTCACAACTATCGAGAACATTAATTTTTTGTCATAGCATTTCACCCCTGAAAATGATCTTGGATGAGATTGAAAGTACTTTAAAAAAATACAAGAAATGAAAAAAAAAAAAACAAACTACGGCGTCTTTCTTAATGAATTTAATATTAACATTAAGAACTTGATCAGGGAATTCGAGAAAGTTAAAATAAAAATAAACATAATGTATCCACATTCAAACAAACATGAAGATAAGTGCCTATATATATATATATATATATATATATATATATATGTGTGTGTGTGTATATATATAAATATATATATACATGTATATATATATATATATATATATATAAATGTGTGTATATATATATATACACATGTATATATATATATATATAAATGTGTATATATATATATATATATATATATATATATATATATATATATATATATATATATATATATATACATAAAGTGGACATTGAAGTCAATACCCAAAGGCGTTTCATGTTAAACGCAACTGATGGCCTGACGTTGCGCTTACCATGAAACAGTCTGTCGCCTCTGACTGTTGACTTTAATGTCTACTTTTATATTTACATTGGCTCTCTTCCTGATAGGGGGATAGGTTAAATAGATCTTCCATTAGAAAACTGTCTCGGAAAGTTGATTTCGGTGTAAACGGCATTCAGTCTGTATATTACAATAAGCATAAGCCCGTTTCTTGTGTGGTTCAGTATAATATGTCTTATGCATCATATAGTACATTTTCATTTGTTTAAAACATAAATGACTCAGTACTTTTGCTTTGATGCTGTTTTGCAGTAGATACCTGTGTGTATACTGCGTACTGACACTAAAAGCTCTGCATTTTTTTCGGTTTGTTAAGTTAAGCAACATCGAACGCTGCCATATTGCTTACATAAGTGACTACTGAGAATCAGCGAATGCTGTCAGATTGTGGTTGTGCAATAGTCTTCACATAGCTTCAGGAAGACTGAAACGTATAGTATTTATTGAGGGCGTCATGTAAAAGCATCACGCACTGTTAGTAGACCTTGACTTTGTGAAGGATTAAACAAATCTTGGCAAACTAATGAAGTAGCGTTTCGATCAAAGCTTATTCCATTAGAGAATCATTGCAATCGATACGTTCGATTTATATTTGTATTTAGGTTTTGATTAATTTCTTTTATTTCATTTCTCTCTTTATTTTCCGTCTCTCTTTCTAAAAGTCGATCATACTATCGAGATATAAACGATGCATTATTAATGGGTCAGAAGTGTAATATCGAATTGTTATTATGTGGTTAACTGTTAGTCCGGCAAACGAGTAACCCGATACATTTTCTCTTTGTCTTTTTATATTTATGCTATTTTTTAAAACTTTTTTTTTTTTTTTTACTATTGTTCTTTTTCTATTTACTTTAAATTTCTCCCTATGTGTATAGACATCATTCGTCTGTACTTTCTTTTTCCTCTTGTTGTTATTGTTGCTGTTGTTTTTCATCTTGTTGTTGTTGTTGTTCTTCCTCTGGTTTTGTTGTTGTTCTTCTTCTTCATCTTGTTGTTGTTCTTGTTGTTCTTCCCCTTGTTGTTGTTGTTTTTCCTCTTGTTGTTGTTGTTCTTCTTCTTCTCACTCTTGTTGTTGTTGTTGTTCTTCTTCTTCCTCTTGTGGTTGTTCTTTTTCTTGTTGTTTTTGTTCTTCTTCCTCTTGTTGTTGTTGTTCTTTTTCTTGTTGTTGTTTTTGTTGTTCTTCTTCCTCTTGTTGTTGTTTTTGTTCTTCTTCTTTTTCTTGTTGTTGTTTTTGTTGTTCTTCTTCCTCTTGTTGTTGTTGTTCTTCTTCTTCTTTTTCTTGTTGTTGTTTTTGTTATTCTTCTTCCTGTTGTTGTTTTTGTTCTTCATTTTGTTGTTGTTGTTGTTGTTTTTGTTGTTCTTCTTCCTCTTGTTGTTGTTCTTCCTCTTGTTTTTGTTGTTCTTCTTCCTATTGCTGTTTTTGTTCTTCTTCCTCCTGTTGTTGCTCTTCTTCTTGTACCTTTTTTACTTTTTCTTCTTTTCGTCCTTCTCTCGTTCATTTCGCTTTTCTTTTTCCTATTCTTTTACAAATCGTCTTCTTTATCAGTTTGTCTCATTTTCCTTACTGTTCTCTGTTTTCTTCTTCCTCTTCTTCTTCTTCTTCTTCTTCTTCCATTATTATTATTATTATAATTACCTGTTCACTCAACTCACCTTACCTAAAGTAAGACATTTCTTAGCTTCCTATCATTGTTAAGCAAAGCATTAAGACAAGAAACAACGGAACTTATTTTGAATAAGATTTCACAGAAGGATATTTTTGTTGCTGTTAGCTTCCTTGTTGCCTTGAGCAAAATCTTCCACTTCGAATCCTTATTATTTATTTATTTTTTTACCTGATTACTGATGCTAAATATTTACTTTTTTTCTTCTTCTGTAGCGACATAATAGGACACCCATTGAACGGTTGTTGTAAGTGGCAGCCATGATTTCAGTGACGATGGCGCATAGTTACGGCGGTAATTTTAGAAGTCATGTCATATTATTACAGTATAGTTTAACTCTAAAGATATTTAATAATTTAATATTAATATTTGGTAGAATTACGATGATCGAAGTTCGCCGTCGTTCAGTGGTAAGCGTCAATGAAAGACTTTAAAATCCTGGTACGGCTACATTTTGAATTTCGGAACTGTAGAAGAAAAAATGATCCTATCTTTTTCTGCCTCTTGCTCCGATTACATCGGGGGTCTTAGTACATTATCTAAACCCAATAAATTTGAAAGATACAAAACAAATAAGGAAAAAAAAAAGGCGTAAAGGCTTATATATTACAGCGTTATTCAAGTTTGTATGTATTTTTCTTTTATTTGACAATTATATATTTACAGATACTGTCTATAAATATGAGAATGGTCATTAGTACATTGTCTGCAGGAAGAGCAGTTGACAATGTCCTTTTCTCAATATGGTGGCTTTTCATTTTCGAGGAATTTCGGGAAACGTTTCTTTTATATTTTTTAGAAAGAAAAGGAACTAAAGAGAGTTTGTGTGTGTGTGTGTGTGTGTGTGTGTGTGTGTGAGAGAGAGAGAGAGAGAGAGAGAGAGAGAGAGAAAGATATAAGAGAATCATGGTGCTAAGGATACTGGGAAGGAAACATGGCGCTAACGGTATTGGGAAGTAAGCGAGCCAAACTTCCTTCAATTTGAACGTTATTCTTTCTCAACGATTCTTTTTATATATTTATAAATAAAGATTTCTCAATAAACTTCCATATTTATCTTGAAGTTACACAAGGAACAAAAAGCGTTAGTATAAAAGATTTCATTTCTTGCCGTTTCTTATATATAGAGGCATAAAGAAAAGTTTAAGACCACTTTATAATTTTACTATGTTACAGTTAAAACTGGATCAATTTTACTAAAAAGTTTTAGACATGATGATAGTTTCTTTTAATTTCAAGTCAAATAGTCCAAGGGTCAGTATGTTTTATGACCTCTTTTGTTTTTGATTATTCCTTGGGTACGACGGGGCATACCGAGAATGAAGAAGTCAAACGAAATTTATTTTGTCCAGACTTCTTTAACAGCATCAAGAGATGCTTCGACATTTGAAAGATAGCTTGTTTTTAACAATTTCGTATGGATTTTCAATTTGGCTTCAATCTGGGCTGTTTCATGCTCAGATGAATGTGCATATATAGTTGCAGATATTTCTGCAGTAGTTGCACATAGCTTACATTATTCATCGTGGTTCCTAGAGGCAGGAAGCAGAGTTCATCTGTTCTAGATTTGGGCATGACGCCTCAAATCATCCGGCTTGGTGAGTGTACCATAGTCCGAATTGTATACTTTTCATCAAATCTCTTCCCAGGGATTCGCCTAATATTTTCTTTACGCATAACGAACAGTAGCAGGGAAGCTTCGTCTGAAAACATGGCTATACTCCAGTTTTTAGCTGTCCAGGTTTCATGTTGCTTAGCAAATGTCAAACGTTTCGGTTTCACAGCTGCACTTATTGGTGGTGGCTTACGAGCCGGGTTGATTTCAGACAAAACTCTATTCCCAGACGACGTGAAACTGTCATGGAACTGACATGTGTACATTTTGAAGAAGAGTAGCATGTATCATCTTACAAGTCCTTTTTTGTGGATCATGTAGCAGTGTACTTCGTCAAATTGCCATCTCTAACATTGATTTTCTTTGGACCGCCTCTTTTCACTGCTTTTGATTTAATTATATAATTAAGTTTGAAGTTTTTACCTTCGGTTTTTGAAACATGGTAATTCCAGTGTAGCGAAGAAACCATATTTTTAAATCAGAATATATATATATATATATATATATATATATATATATATATATATATATATATACCACTTTAAACGTCATTTTTAGTAGATACTGTATTTGAATTCCCTCTCTTTTCTCTCTATCTCTTTATATATATATATATATATATATATATATATATATATATATATATATATATCGTATGAACCAGGATGAAAGCATGTAAATTTCATATAACTTCCTCCGATACAATTTCAATGCCTTTGCTTTTCTCCTTCCTTCTATTACCCTCCGCATTTTGCGTTTATTTATTTATTTTAAAATAATAAAGCGTTAGGAAATTATTTAGCCCAGGTTACCTGGAAATACAGAAAGGTTGAAACCAAGGTAGCATGCTCAGCTAAACTCCTAATTTCTTTTTAAATTTAAAAGCTCTGCATGTTAAATTTTTCTTTTCTTTTCTTTTTTATACGTGTATTGAGCAATTTTTAATATTACTGCTTTAATTCAACACAGACCATTAACATTTACACACACACACACACACACACACATATATATATATATATATATATAGCCACACCGATGACTTGAGATACAGCGAAAGCCTGTATATATATATATATATATATATATATATATATATATATATATATATATATATATATATATGTGTGTGTGTGTGCGCGCGTGTGTGTGTGTGTGTGTGTGTATTTGCGTGGAAGGTTCTCGTGTTATGTCGGATCCGACATACGGCGTTTCGTGATTATGGCGCCATCTCACATACGCGGCGCTATACGTGGAAGACGGCGTTGTTTCTTCACCGCCTGTACGCCATATTCGATTTTACTACATTCCCTATCTCTCGTTTGTGTCGTTTTTTTTTTAGCGTTTTGCCCTTCATCATGTTTCCCAAGCGTAAGGCATACTCAAGTGTACTTATGTAGGTGAGTTCTAACCTGTGTCGAAAATCACGTTACGTCGCGTCGTAGGAACGAATCTCCGACATTAGTCGCGGACCCCCGGTCTATCTATCTTGATTGAACGATTTTCAACGTTTCTTCGCAGGTGGAAAAATTAAAAAAAAATGTAATCGTTCTCTATGACTGACTGTTCGAATGAGGAGCTTTTGTGGAGAATTCATTTCAAAAACTGCTCATTTGAATTGGGAGATATACGAACACACCGTTCGTTTCAAACTTGCTAATTCAAACACACTAAATCGATCAGAAAAAAGCACACATCGAACAAATATAGTATGTATCAATAATTTTATTACGTAGATACTTACAATTTGACTTTTATGGTTAAAAAAACAAATGATATATTAAAAAAGGGAGATGAATGTGAAAAGGGTAGCAGTTACCATGCAATTATTCCTCTGCAATTCACTTAGGTTGAAAGACAGAAGCCTGGCGCTTACTAAATGCAGAGGCAAGGCAAGAATAACAAATACACTCCGGTGATGTTCCTCGTTTAACAAACGCTGAAACGTATTTGGAACCGTCTGACTGTGTTTACGTCCAGCGTTTCGTCGTCGTAAAAGTTCAGGAATCATCGACGAGAGCAATGTTTTTCCACATGGAGATCTCAATAGGCTTCGTAAGAATTTTGATGACAGAAGGCATTTTGCCAGACTGCTGTCTGTCACAAGACAAATAAAAATGGGATATTCGCATCCATATTCAACCCCTATTGCTATGCCATCATCTTTCACCTCTGATGTCAAGGGTTAAATAAAATGCATCAATTTTGAAGCAAGTTTTTTGTCTGGCTTTTGGGATTGATTCGAAAATATGAACATGTATCTATGGAAGCACATAAAAACAACAAAAATATTTTTTTATCGTTTCGGTTGTTTCTGCCTATGTAGGTTATCCTTTCATTGTAATATGCAATGTTCAATCTCGTAAGTGGTAGGCAGGATATTATAATATTCAAAGCAATATTTATGATTAAAATGATGGTAATTTATGTTGTTTTATTTTCTTTCTTGCTTATTTCGTTTCTCAGAAATATGTGACGGTTTGTACGAAACGTACATATATGAATATATTTATAGAACAAACATGAATTATATAAATTTCTTTATTATTCTTTTAGGCATGCATCCTTATCAGTCCCTATATTGAACACTACATCTCTCATACTGCGCATTATCTATCTATCTATCTATCTATCTATCTATCTATCTATCTATCTATCTATCTATCTATCTATCTGTTGTAACTGAATAAACAAAACGGAGGTTGGAAATGAAATGGTAATCTTTATAACATCAACAAAATACAATACTCGCCAGCGGCGTGAAGTAGGTAAACCACCGCTAATGGTGGTCTACTTAGACAGCATATTATCCCCATTTACAATAGTGTCCAACGTATTTATGAGGATTGGGACATACCCATTAATGTTCATAGATACGGTATATAACACTATCTATCTATCTATCTATCTATCTATCTATCTATCTATCAGTGGACATGCGATAATTAAGGCAGCAGGCTTTTGTTCAGTTCGAATTCATTCAGAACAACAGCAACTATAAAAGAAGGAAAGAGACGATAGAGGTGGCAGAAGTGAAAGAAAGAAAGAAAGAAGAAGAAAGAGAAGATAGAGCTGGCATAAGAGAAAAAAGAAAGAAAGAGAAAATAGAAGTGGGAGAAAGGAAATAAAGAAAGAAAGATACAGGTGGCAGAAGGGAAAGAAAGAAAGAAAGAAAGAAAGAAAGAAAGAAAGAAAGAAAGAAAGAAAGAGAAGGTAGTGGTGTAAGAGGAGAAAGAAAGAAAGAGAAGATAGAAATGGAAAGAAAGAAAGAAAGAAAAGATAGAAGTGATAGAAGAGAAAGAAAGAAAGAAAAAGAGAAGATGGATGTGGCAGAAAGGAATGCAACAAAAGAAAGAAGGAATATATATATATATATATATATATATATATATATATATATATATATATATATATATATATATATATATATATATATATAATTAAATTATCTATCTACTCATATATATGCATGCAATTTCTGACCATATCTCTGTATCGAACTATCTCAGTTTGTTCATATCTATGAATTTATCTATATTTACACGTGTGTGTGTGCGTGTGCATATATAATGAGGTCATCATCTACAGGTGAAAGTGTGTTTCGTGCTTAAATGCAATCTTCAGTCTAAACCAGAAACTTAGGTTTAAGCCGCTGTCGACGATCTCGCCGCTGGGTGTTGACTTTGATACAGCATAGATTAAAACCATATTTTATCATCTATCTATCTATCTATCTATATATGCAAACGTAAAAGAACGATGTAAGATTTCAGCGTTCAAAACATTAATTTAAAACAGGACTCACTACAAAAGTAGAGTAATAAATATTTTATATATTATGTGTGACGTCCCCCCCCGGGGTGTCGCTGCGCCAAAATATGACGTCTGCCTGGTTGCGTCCGTCGTGCTATCCTGTCCTGTGACGACCAACTGGCTTGGTATTGATCGCGGCACCAAGTGTGACGTTCTAACCTTTTGGTGATTCGGATGGGAATCTGGTTAGATTCGGTATCAGCCTTGTCGTTCCCAGCTCGCCTCCAACGTCTGGTTACCGAAGTAACTGCCTTGATTTCCAGTCCAACCTACGCACGTTGTGAATTGATCTAGGCAGACGAAATCAATCAGTCGCCGGGCCGTACTGCAAGTCGAGTTCGAACAAGGGTGATATCGAACAAGTATGTGTAAAATAAAATAAAATAATAACTCGAAAAGTTCAAATGTGTTAAAAAAAAAAAGGATAACAATACTTTATATCTGGTTGCTGAGTACAGGACTGAGTCTTCTTCCCAACCCGCTATATGGATTCGTGACACTTTGTGTTTGTTAGGCGAGTCTTAACATCTTAAGTTGTTTGTTCTTTTAAGAAACTGGTTCTTGGTGTGTCTTCAGGCGAAATTTGTAAAACTTGTTTTGGTGGTGTGAGTCTAAGTCGTTCTTCAAAAATAAATTGTTCATAGTTAGAATATGAGTCGTGATTTGCGTGAATCTTAGTCAGCTTCTGCGAGGCGGGTGCAACTTCAACTGCGAACTTTGAACTTAACTCAACTTGCCTCTCAACTGGAACTGAACTGAACTCATTTTCGCTCGCTGCGACTTTGCTTATATGGACGCCGACCAAAACCAGGGTGGGCCTGTCGGGGTTTGAGGTTCCTTGATAATTCCAAACCCACAATCCACTTCTTTGTTTTCGGTCAGGAAAATTTTATTATTTTCCATTTTTGGAAGTCTTCTCGTCCTCCCACCTTCTTCTGTTCTCGTATTGGCATCTTACCATACCCTCAGAGGGTGTCAACGGTTTCCCCCCTCTCTCACAGTGGCATCTCACACCTATCCGGTCAATGAGTGCCAGCAGGCCTCGCCTCCTGCTTCACATGATTACCTCCGCCCAATACTCCTGCTATCATTCAGCCAATGGTCGCTCAGCGGCGTAGGTGTGGCCAGACTAGCCCCAGTTTAAAAAAATCTTGCTCAAAGTGAAAAAAAATTTTATCTCTTTTTTTTTTCACTTTTCCTTTTCTTTCTTCTCTTCGAGGAGACCTCACACCCTAGACTTTTTATCTTTAACCGAATTACCTGGAATTCGTCAATGAGATTTTCGCCAATTAACAAGTGGGTGGTCAACCAGACGTACCTACACTCCTGGCGCCAACCACTGATCCGATAAAACAATTTCGCCACCACAGCCGAATTTCATATGGAAGTCGTCAACGAGATTTTCGCCAATTATCAAGTGGGTGGTCAATTAGACGTTTCGCATTATGGCGTTATCTATTCCCGATAAAATAATTTCGCCACCATAGCCAGTTTTCGACACAAAACAGATGCCTTTTTCCAAACGACTTTTCCGTAGATAACCAATGGTTTGGTCTTTTGTTTTGACAACTGTGTGTAATTCAAATGGACACAGTCAATGTTTATCTATTTAGAATTCTGTCTCTGAGGTTATTTGGTCAACCTGTAATTTCCACCCGTCCCGTAACCTAAATCAGATTAATTCCAGTATCTTCCTTTTTACCTTCTCGACAATGGAAAAATAAAAATTTTACCACTTTTCCTTGTCAGAAAAATAACACCGCTTAGTGTCCTTTTCGTGATGGCTTCTTATCACCTAATTTTAATTCTCGCCTTTCTTTTTTTTTCTTTCCTTTTTCTTTTCTCCATTCTCCCTTTTAGCAAGCCAAATAGTGTCACATATGCAGTGTTACATTAGAACATACACGTACACACTACCTAGTGGTTATGTGCATGTTCTAATGTAACCCTGCATAATATATATATATATATAGAGAGAGAGAGAGAGAGAGGGAGAGAGTGAGAAAGAGAGAAAGAGAGAGAGAGAGAGAGAGAGAGAGGAAAATAATAATTATTTTGAATATATATGTCGTACTAATAATATATCTGCTGTTGTCTTTGTGACTTACACACACAGACACACCATACGAAGTATATATATATATATATATATATATATATGTATATATATATATAGAGAGGGAGAGATAGATAGATAGAGAGAGAGAGACAGAGAGAGAATAGGTGAAAGTAATAATTATTTTGAATATACAAAAATGTGGCACAAGGCCAAAAGGAGGGATAAAGGACTTTGGAAATGTACAAAGTCTCCTCAGTGGTAGTAAATTTCCTTAAATCTAACATGGGAGTGTGGAAAACCACATTATACTTAAATCACACTAAAGGTACTGCCATTCGCAATTCTTTGAATATCCGACTAGAAATCTTTCAAGGAGACCCGTTTTTGTCTGACCTTAAACCCACTTACGCATGAACTAAACAATAATAGCTTTGGATACAAAGTAAACAAGGAATTGTTCAGTTACCTACTCTACATGGATGATCTCAAACTTTTATCCAAAGATGACAGTGAGTTGAAGAGTCTACTCAATAATGTAAAAATCTTTTAGTGAGCATATAAGTATGGATTTCGGATTAGTTAAATGTGCAAAATTAACATTCAAGAAAGGGAAAATTACAGAAACACACTCAGTAGATCGAGATTTTTTTTACAAAGCTTAAGGAACTGGAACAAGAAGAAGCCTAAATTAGCGAAGGTGATGGAATACAGCATACTCAAATGAAGGAGAAAGTAAATAATGAATATTACAGACGAGTGTGTCAGGTATTGAATATCGAGTTGGATTCACAAAACAGAATATCAGCCATAAACACTTTGGCTTTACCTGTGGTGTAATACTGTTTCAACATCCTTAATTAGACCATAGCTGTCTTTAAACGAATGGACACAAAAAAGAGAAAGCTTCTCATCTGTCACCACATGTATCATCTCAAGGCTGGTGTTGATCGAAGGAGGTGGAGGATTAGTTCAACTAGAACTATCTTACAAAACTAAAACAATTAACCTTCGACGATACCTTGAAGCTACAGAAAACTGGATGATGTCAAAGAACATGAAAGAATATAGAAATTGTATTCATTAATAAAAGAAGGTAACAAATTCAAAATGGAATTTCAAATGGGTGAAGAAATACAAGTAAAACATAATACACTTGCTGCAACAGTAAAATGTTAAAAAAAAGAAGGCAAATGCAATGGACCATATTCAGAAATGATGACAAGTTAAGCCTCTTCATGGTCAATACTCTGCTGCCTGTATCAAACAAGCTGATGTAGACAAATCCTGTATTCATCAGTGGTTACGCAGTGCAGGGTTAAAAGTTGAAACCGAAGGTCTTATTCTCACTTCATAGGGCCAATGCGCTGCTAACTAAAAATTTCCAAGCACACATAGTGAAAAAGTGTGTTAGCTCAAAATGCAGATTCTGTGATAAATATCCAGAAACAACTGACCATCTTGTACGGTAGTGGCACCCACTGAATATAAAAGACGGCATGACAGAATGGACGAATATCTGTATTGGAATATATGAAACTTTTATGGAAAGGACACTGCAACAAATTAATATGAACATCACACAAACCCGCTTAAAGAGACAGGACCTTTAACAATTTTATAAAACTTAACAATATACACAAGCGGAACAATCAAAGCTAATGGCCAATACATTGTAATCAGAGGCCGTAAAAAACAAAATGTACCTTCTTATTGACATAGCAGTCACTTCAGATTGTAATGTATCCTTAAAGATCTTCAAAAAATTAGTAGAAATCTAAGAATATGTGGCACATAGGGACATTAACAATTTCCGTTGTGATTGGGGCCCTCGGAATGATTGGAAAAGGATCCGATAGACTCAATGAAGGAATTCATGATAGGAAAAGCCTTAAAGAAATACAAAATTTATACTCACAAGTACAGCCCACACCTTATGAAGAGTTTTCTAAAATGTATTTGATTTTAGTTTTTCTTTTTTGTGTGTTATTCCTCAGAAAATGCTAAATGGAAAATATCATGATGCTAACCTTATGTTTCAGGTTGGGACCCGGAAAGAAATGTGTATACACCAGAAATCAAAGGAAATAATAATAAATAAATAAATAAATAAAATACTTAAAAAAGAGATT